AACAAATAAACCAATGGTTATTTATGAAAATTATATTATTATATTTTATAGATTTTTTTAAATTCATCTATTATATTAAATCAAATAAAATTTAGTTCATATGTGATACTTTATTTGATAATGGACAATGTTATCCTATTTAATTGAATTTGCTCGAAACAAATCTGTTAATAGAATATTATGATTGACATATTAAACAACTTGTCAGTAGTTTAATAAGGTTGTAATGTCATATGAAAGAACAATATCATGTTTGTTCTTTGACATAAATCAAAAAAACAAACATATTTTATATATCATCAAATAAATTAATAATAGTAAAACAAAAACAAAAATTTCTTTTTTTTTGTTTTTTATTGAATAAACATGAACAAAACAAATTAAGGATTCATTGAATAATGAATAACACTTAATTGAAATTAAACAAAAATAGAAAAGAAATTTTTCAATATGTCTTTCTAATAAATAACAAAAACGACATTTCTGTTTCTCATTAATTTTACATGACTGAATGAGTTATGTCAAAAGGACATCTCATCATACGCAACAGAGGATAACTAATAAGAGAAAAATTGACGATCATTTTCTTCAGTACAGTCATCTGAAAATTCGATTAAACATACAAGAAATATTATCAACAAAAACGATTTCGGATAGTTAAACATCATATAAATAGAACTATAACATGTCGTCATCTTTATCATAATTAATCATCATAGTTTGTTTTTCTTTTAGAACGATTCTTTTCTTATTAGTTCGATGTTTTCTCTATAATATATAATTATCTTATTACAAATATGTGAATTTAAGTAAATGAACAAAGAAAAACAAAATTCAATTATTTACTACGTTAAATTTCATTAGGAAAAACGCAACAGTTCATATAGAAAATATTTATAACATATATTCAGTTTTCTTTTTGCGTAGAGTTTTTTAAAATATGTTTTGTCTATTAGACGAAAAAGGTAAGAAAGATATATTGTTATTAATCAATATAATATTATAGGAATTTTTCTTTTATATATATTGAGAAAAAATGATGATATGAGTGTTTGACAATTGTATCATAAAGGCATCAGTTTTAATCATGGAGAAATTAGAAAAACTCTTTTACAGACATATATAAATTATTGATTATTCTAATATATTTTCAGGCAAAACTGTTGGATCAATCATTTATTTATCATGAGTTTTGATAGAAAAAGTAAAAGCATAAAACATACTTTCCATTGTTAATACTCCCATTTGTCGTTTTCCCCATTCCATCATCAGTTATTGTGTTATTGTGATTATTTGTAATATTAGTTATGCCTGGAAGAATTCTTTTCGTGATCGGCAATCCATCAGCACCAACTACCATAGAACTTTGTCTTCTATCCGTTCTTTCATCATGAGAAATTTCTGGTTTTCCATGAGAATTCTATGAAAACAAAAAAAAGTAAACAAAACAAAATAAGTGAAATGTTTCTTTTTCTTTTTGTCTCAGATTAAAAACAGAATTCATCATATTTAATATGATGATAAATTATATTCTACAAAAAAAAAAAGGGAAAACTCACAAAATAATTGTCTGACAAAGATATTTCATCAAATTCTTCATCAAAAGCTGTTTCATTGTCAAAATTTTCTTTTCGAGAAAATGGAAAAATAAAATGACGACTAAATTGTTTTGCATATGTACTTAATTTTTGATTCGTTAAAAAATTTGATCGATGATGATGATGATGATGAAGATTCTCTTCAGATGAAGAAACTAAATCATCATGTACTAATGGAGGACATAATGGTGGACAGACCGGTATACCATGAATATAATGCATTTTATCATCTATTTTTATTAGGATGATGGATATTCGGTTACAATATCATCCTGAAGATCGTACCATCTTCTCTTGGTCTCTTTCATACAACACAGAAGAAAGACAAAAGAAAAAAAAAAAGAAGTAGAAATGAGAAAGAGAAATACTAGAGTAGAACTTGCTGTTTTTCTCTTTTCTTTCATTCTTCTTGATGGGCATCGGTAATGTCACGCAATAACTTTCTATGGCTACTAGTACGACAAAATACAGCTAAGAAAATAACGAAAGAAAAAGAGAAACATCGATAAACCAGATAAAAACACACTTAGCCTATTAAATGAGCAACGCAACAGTAGGAATAACCGTCAATGTCGATAGATAACGACTGACAGTAGGAAAAGAAAGGTGTCAAACCCAATAGAAAGCGAATACTACTAATAATCAACATTTTCTTTGTTTCTATGTTTATATTTACTAAAAGAACTATTTTTTTTTTTTTGTTTTGACATATCTCGTTTACTTTGGGGAATATCAATTCATTATAATATTATGTTTTATATTGTTTGTTTGACCCTTTTTCTATGAGTAAATGAAACGAACAAAAGAAATAGATTTTATGTCATTCTAACCTTTAATTTAAATAAATATAAACCATTTTTCAGATTGACTTAATCAAGAGAAAAAGAAAACCGGACAAATATTTATAAAAGTTCTTTGTTAAAGAAAAAAGATCTTACTTAAAGTTTTCAACATTTCTTTTCTTTTTTTAATTAAAAGTGACTAAACAGAATCAATCTGAAATAATAATCAAGGGAGTTAACGAAAAAAAAGAACAACTAGGATGAAGTCTCTCTTGACCTACTTCATATTAATTGGAACTATCATTTTCATCAAACATCACAAGGACAAAAAAATAAGAAAAGACCTGTCTATTTTTACACTTATCTCTATTTCTAAATGATTGATCATGACGATAATATTCAGCTTAATAGAAAATAATTGACAGAAACCTAGATTTTTCATATATATTTAAAATCCAGATTAAACAACACAAAAAATATTTATTTTTCATGAATTTTGATCCTGAAAAAATTAGGTTCAATTAATTTGTCTATTATCATTAATAAGATACATTCAAATTTTCATACTAAAAAGTCATTCCAATAAAATCTATTATAATCAAGCTCAAATTATGATTTTATGCTTTGTCATATAAAATATTCGTTAGTTTTTGATAGAAAAAGAAATTTATATTATTATTCAACTATTTCGAATAATATTTTCTAGGTAGAAGATTTAATAAACTTAATAAAAAAATATAAAAGTCTTCTAAATGACGTATTATACTTTTGTAATCATCTGATTATAATTTGCATGCAATCTTCTTTAGAAAATTCTATTTCATCTAATATTTATTATACGAAAGTTGATCGGTTGTTTGAGTTGCATGTTTCAAAAAGACAAAAAACAAAAAGTAAATCGTAACTGATAATGTCTGTAAGTTTTTTTGACTTTTTTTTCTTTGAGCTCGAGTTCATTGATTTGAATACAATACTTTTTAATGCAATTTATCTCTATTATTATATTAATGGGATTGTTGTTTTTTTTTTAAGTATTAGAACGATAAATAAAAAGAAAATATAATAAATCCAACTATTTGTGTAAATCTATCCTTCAATAATATCATAAGTTTCAATAGTTTCTTCTGTAATAGGAGGTATTTTTGTTGATTGAAATATTTGTAAAATAAATGAATAAGTCTTTTCTCTTAATTGAATTAAATATGAACGAAATATATCTAATTTTGATAAACGTGAAATATTAATATTCGTTATTTTATTAATTAGTTCTGATTCTGATTGAGGTATAGAACCAAATGATTTATGATAATTGATTTTTGTTAAAATATTTGTACATGGTATTGTATGTTTTAAAAATTTCCATTTAATTGATTTAATATTCATTAATGATAAATGTTTTGATAAAAGAAAATATGATTTTTTTTTTTGTTTAATTAAATTTAAATTGGATAAACTTCGATATAATCGATGTTTTATAATTTGATTTTTATTTAAATAATTATAATTAAATGTTATTATTGATGATATTGAATGATTTCGAAGAAAATTTTCTTTTTGTAAATCTTGATTTGATATTAAACCAACAATATCGTTTATTGTTGATTGACAAAAAGGTGTTGAACATTCATCTATTTGTGATGACATATCAAACTCAAGAAAACGATTACGTAATATTTCTGCCATTTCATTAAGATCATATGATGATAATGCATCAGATTCGGGTAAATGACGATTAAAATCTGATTTATCCCATTCTAAATCATCATCATCATCATCACATAAACTTTCTCCAACATCTGATGTTGTTGTTATTGAACGACGTCGATCAAATTTTATAACAGAATTTAAATTTGAATATATTGTTTCCATGTATAATATTTGTAAGAGCACTATCTTGAATATTTAACCCATCAAATAATAAATAGAAAATAAATATTTTCTTCTCTCTTATTGTTTGCGTTTTAGAAAATAAAAGTAACAGCTGTTACAAAACAAAAATGAATAATTATACTTATTTCATTGAAGTTTTATAATGAGATGAAAAACTCAACATGATCGTGTACCATCTAACATATAACAGCAAGACACTATATCGCACTTTGATTATTATATATACACAACTGTGGGCGTACTTCTTCGCAGAAAGAATTTTATTAATATGAATTAGGAAAATAACGTTGCGGAATAAAAAAAAAAAAAAAAACTATTGTGTTTTCTCTACTAATGATGTGTCTTTTTTTTTACATTTGACGTTATGTTAATTGAGAAAAAGGATGTATTCTCCTTGTTTTTCTTCTTCCAAAAAAACAATTATTTTATTGATATGTTAAATAAAAAATAATTAATGAGATTTGAATTTTTAAGAACAAAAAACAAAAATCTTTTCTATCATTTGAATAGACAAAATAAGAATACTATATGTTAAATAAACAATTATATCAAAGAATTTCTACTTAGAATATAAAGACATTATGTTGGTGATAGACTCAAGAATGATATGTGACATCTGAAATGAAATCTGGTACAAGTTAATGAGAAAAAAAATTCCAGTGAAGTGAAGGTCATATATGTAAATCTAGCATAGTGAAAAGATTTTCTTTGTGAATGCACATATTTCTAATTAACATTTGTTTCTTTTTTTTCTTACTTGATTTAATTGTGTTACAGTTCGTACAGCATCCATCCATTTTACTTTTGATGATGATAATGGAATGTTTATATGTTCATTTTCATGATTTGATAAAACATTTTCTTCATTAGATCTTCTTGATAATATTGGACTTTTACTACTTATAGAATAATGATGATTATTATAGTCATCTCTTTCAGAATGAATATAATTATGACTGGTTGGTCTAAAACAGAAAAGATAATTAAAAAAAACAAAAGTCAATTTCAACTAATTTTTATTAATATACTATTTTAAAAGCAATCAAATATTATTTGAATTAGTATATATTTTCTAGTGTAATTTATATAATATTAGGTGTCAATTAAAAAAAAAAAAAAAGAAAAGTTGTTAAATTATTATTTGATTATAATATTAATCTATGTAATAAACATTTTGTGATCTGATATTCATAAAAACTTGTATTATATCAAGTAATAAAATTCGATGATACTTTAGAAAATAGAATCAACGATTATAGATAATACTTAAAATGCTTGAAGAAAAAAAAAGCATGTGCTTATGTTCTACGCATTACTTCATCGATAATTTCATTTTAATAATATAACAAAATAATTGTTCAAATTTAAACACAATCGAAAGATTATAATAATCTTAAAAATAGACAATTGTCATTGAAGATACTAAATTACTTCTCAAGTATTCTTCTGAGTTTGTTTTTTATTATTAATTATTTAAAATAATTCTATAAGGAAAAAAAAATGCCTTGAAAACACGTATCAGTTTAATGACTGTAATGAAAAGATAGTTGAGAACATTTGTTTCCTTGTAATATCCGGAATCAAAACGAATCTCTTTTTTTGAAATCTTATTAAGAAGGATGACAGAAATTCTCTATTACTATAATTGATATATATCAAAAAAAAAAAAAAAGAATATATGTTTCTTTCGGAGAAAAATATAAAAAAAAAAAAGAAAGAAATAAGAAATATATAAATATGTTCTATCATCCGATTAATTTCCTTCTATTCATTACAGAGGAAGACTGAACGATAATTTCATCAATAATTCGTAATCGTTTTTATTATGCATTTTACTCGAACTTCTTCTTTTGTATATTATTTTTATGTAAAATATTTCAAAGAATAATTTGTTTGTCATTTTATTGAATTAAAAAATCTAATGAAAAACAAAAAAAAAATTTATTTTATTATAGTAAATGTTTAAAGTTTTTAGTTGAGATGAGATTTTATTAATACGATTATGTTTTGATAAATTGTTTTCTTTTTAGAAATCATTCAACCACATATTTTAAATGAACTATTAAAAAATTTCTTTTTCTTTTTTTTTTTTCAAGTGTGAAAATTTAATGAAAATGTGAAAGAAAAAGGTCGTCATATTATATATATTTTGTTTAAACATAAAAGTAAATAAATTAAATGTCGAAATTATTTGACGTAGAAGAAAATAAAAGCTAAGAAAGTATCTTGGAATTAAAAATAAAAAAAAAACAGAATTGTTCTTTTCTTTTCTTTTCTTTTCTTTTTTTTTTGATTTCAAGATATTACTTGACTTATTTATGTACTTCTATAAATTTCTTTTCATTTCCTTTAGTCTTTTCTCTTCTTTTCCGATATAGTTAATGATTAAATTACGAGATTTTCTTTCCACTCACAGAAATTTTTTAACTGATTGCATGACATTTTTGTACCAAAAAACAACGGATGCAAAATCAAATTGTTCATCAATATGAGGATATTGACCGGAATAATAACCAGGAATACCATGATAATTGCCAATCGATGATGATCTTCTATCATCCTCATCGTCATCATCATCATCATCATCATCATCATCATCTTCTTCTTCTTGTTCATCGTCATCAGACCGTTCCTTATTATTACTTCTCCTTTGTTCGTTTGAATTAGAAATTAAGGAAGAATGAAGTGTCGAAGATGGAATTGGTGTTGTTGGTATAGATCTATTTCTAAAGGCATAATTATTTTGTCTATGTGCATAAGATTGATATTGATTTGGAAGTTCTTGTAATGATAATAATTTTGAATGAATTTGATCATCAACAGTTTGATTTTTTATATCAGATATTTGTTGTCTTGCAAGATATGTTGGATATGTATTTTCGTTAGTATATTGTTGTTGTGGAACATCAACATAATTCATTTGTCCACTTGAATGATGTGGATTATGATAAAATGATTTATCATTTAATTGATTTACTTCATCATCATCGGAAGAAATTTGTTCTTTTTTTTGTTTTTGTTTTTGTTGTTGTTTTTGTTTTTGTTGACGAAAAACAGATGAAGGTGTGCTTGAATGATGATAACCAAAAGATGATGGAGTATTGGAGAGTACATCACGCAACCAATTGAACATGATGGTGAACAAGAACGAGAACGAGAAGCACCACTAACAAGCTTTGTCTTCGTTTCTTCTATGTCAGCAATACACATGCAAAAAACAGCAGAGATTTTCTTCGCACGATTCGTCGGCGCGTTCTCGTCATCATCGTCCTGTATCCGGTCCTCTGTCCTCCAGGCAATAACAAGGAAGAGGAGGAGGAGGATGGTGAGAATGCGAGAATGTGTATTTGCTCATTAATAAATTAGAAAAAACGACATTGATTTTTCTTCGCCCTCTCGCCTTCTCTCTTTTCTTTCTTTACTCAGTTCGACGAGTTTGTGTTCTTCAAGTCTTTTTCTTTTCGCTTTCTTCCATTTTCCTTTCTTTTTTGGTTTTTCTTTTGTTTTTGCTATTGCATTCAAATGCAATAGATGGATAGACAGACAAAGAGAGAGAGAGGGAGAGAGAGAAGTACATCGTCTCAATCTCGTTGATATGACCGGTTTTTGACTATCATTCAGATAGTCTTCTCTTTCTTTGTTTCTCCCTATGCATACATAAAGAAATCCAGATAATGAAATGGCATTTTTTTCTTTCTCTTGTGATATTATTTGATTGATCGATCGATGCAATCGGAGTTTAAGAAGGTGTTTATAGATAGAATAAGAAAATGTTTTTCAATTATCATTTTACTACTCAGAATAACAAAAAAAAACCGAGACAATATTCGTTTTTAGTGACAATACCGAAAGAAATATCACCTTATTTTTTTTTCTCTCTCATTTTATTATATATATATATATATATATATGTGTGTGTGTGTTTGCATTGTGTGCAAAGAGTAAATTCATCCATCTATCTATCTATCTATCTGTCGAACAATCAAATAAAACTGTTTGCCTATGCAGAAAAGCAGATCTGTAATGATGGTAAAAACGAGAAATTCATTCTCATCCATCTCTACGTGATGATTATAGTCATAGACATTCTATTTTACTATCAAATCATACTCAATCGCCAATACTAACATAGACAGATGAACACAAATAAAAAAAAGAACAAAGCATAATCCATTATTACATTGACATATGTAGAAAAACAAAATATATATATATATATATATAGAAAAAACAGAGGAACAAAAAAAATCTATCACTCATAAAAAAAAAGTGAAATAAATTCCCATGTTAATTACCTAATATAGTTAACAGGTGTTCTTGACAAAAAAAAAATCATTTTTTGTCGTTTATTAATAAACAAGCACATTGAATTTTATAATTCCCTCTTGGATAGATGAATTGATCGTGACTTGGAATGTTTATCTACGTTAGAAACAAAATATAACTATAAGTATCGTCTTTCTCTTTCAACCCGTACTTGACATAATTCAATTAGTTATTTCATATTCATCATTTATCATAGAATAACAACTTGCTTTCAACATTAATTCTTTTTCTCACAAATAAAATCATTCAGCGCGAAAAAAGAATTGTTAACTTGTTTTCTAAAACATGACAAATAAAAAAAAACCCATACACACACACACACCATGCAACAAAAAAAGAATCAATGTGTATATTAGCCTTAGTCTATTTCCCCTAAAAACAATAAATGTTAGATGTGTGAATTAAATGCAGATGTCTAATTTTCTTTTTTTTGTCTATGATAGTTGCATGCAGTATTAGCAGCAACAATTATTACCTGAATAAATAGTATTTTTCATGTTTCTATTTTTAATAATACACAGACGAGACGACAATAATTAATAATAAAATATATCTTTGTTTTTCTTACTTTTCATCTTGATTTAAATCTATTATTTTATTCATTGGTAATTTTCTTGGTTGACTAATATATGAAAGTGGTTCTTGTTCCATAAATGAGTTTGTATTTTGTATTTGATTTTGATTTGATCTTCGAGATGTGTTTGGTACTGAATGTAAATCTCTAATAAGTGGTTGAACAAATGCTAATGGCTTTTTAGTTAATATTGATGAAGATATATTTTCATTTGTTGATGGTACTATATTCGATTGTGATATAGATGAAACTGGATAATTTAAATTAGCTTGTATATTTATCGGATAAGATACATCTGATGTGTAATCACTATCATCCGAAACTTTAAAATAAGAAACAAAACAAAAAAAAAACAAAATTATATTTTATGTTTTTTTGTTTATTATAAATAAATATTTACAATGTGAATGAGAAGGATTAGTCACTTGTTGATATTGAAGAGGCTATTTAGAAAAAAAAAAAAACATAATTTTTTTTGTAAAAATTTCATAGATTTTTGTATAACTTAATAAAAATCTTTTATTTGACATCTATTCTTTTTTGATAAGTAATAATTCATTACCTTAAAGACAATAAAAGTTAGTCAACATGTTTTGATTTTTTTTTTTTTTTCAATGAAGAAAATTTTCTTTTGTTCATTCATTGAAGAATATTTCAAGGTTTTATTGCTAACAGCAAAATTTATATTTTTTTTCTAGATTGATTTTATTTTTGTGAAGTTTTGTAAAATTCTCCAGAAAAAATGTTGTCATTCTTCAATTCAATCTTTTTACAAAAAAATTTTATATACTTTATTCTTATATAAAGAAAATTTATATTAGAAAATAGTATCATATACTAGTTTTCGATATTCTTCATATAACTTAACAAGTAAAAGACAAAAAGAAAATGTCAAATATAAAATTTCTTTTTCCAGTGGTCAATATCAAATGTAAATAATATGTAGGTGAAATATTCAGTAATATAAAAAGAAATAGTATAGAAACAAATCAATTATTATGGTTAAGATTTAGAAAACGGAACGAATAAAAATATTATATGTTCAGTTTTCAACGGAAAAAAAATCAGTCCAGATTTCTTTCATAGATATTACGAAATAACGATATTCAAATTGTTCTTATACAGATTTTCTGAATTACTTATCTTGGTTTTGTTTTGCATTTGTAATCATATTAAATAACAAATAGATATTCAAGGATTGCATAAAAATTTCTTATATTTTAAATAATTTTTCTTTTCAAGAACGTAAATAATAGATATTATTTCTCATGCGATGACTTATTATTATTTGTTTGCAATTTTAAAGATTAGACGAACTTAATCAACTGATTTATTTTTAATAACCGATGAGTACATTGAGATTTTATTTATACGGACAATATTCTTCAAGGCTATCAACTTTGACGGAAATAGATAAATTTGATTCTATGTGTTTTTTTTAATGAAAAACAGTCTAATAGGAATGTGGAAGTATAGAGGTAAGAATGTGGACTTCCTCTGTCCTGAAAAATCATGACATATGTTATTAATATACGATCAAAGACTGTATATGAATAATGTTTCGTTCTAAAATATGAACTACTTCCTTATTATATTTATGGCGGATTAAGTAAAAGGATGATGAAGAAATGTATCCCAAAATAGAATGACTATAGCAATCTCCTTGTGATTAGCAAGAGTAGCAACATCGTCTTTCATATTTTAATTCCGGAGGGATTGAGCTAACAGCTTTTATTCTTGAGAATTACGGATGGGCAATCTCTTCTTCAAATAGCTTGAATTTCTTAAATTATTTCTGTCTCTAAATCGACTAAATATTGAATGATCGTTTTATAGATATTTTGCTTTGATATATGTATCTACAAAACAAAGGGAATCAAATGGTATTCAATTAGAATTCATCGAATTGGAACACAAAACCATCCATAAATAATTCTCGAAATACAACAACAAAAAAAAAAGGTAAAATTTGCATGATATTTAATAGCTTTAAAAAAATAATATTTTCGAAATGAGTCCGTATAAATGAAAAGTCGATGCACGTATTTTGAACAAATAGAATTCAATGTATTTCAGATGATATTCATTATGAAAGAAAAAAACAAAACACATTTTTCATGTAATATGTTTGTTCTGATTGAAACTATTCCGATATTCTTCCAAGGAAAATTTTATTAGAAATAAACGATTTATATACCGCCAATTTATGAAATTTGATAAGTATTACTTCAATCAGATATATCCTAATATATTTTTCAAGGTTATGTCTTTGTTAGCATTAGAAAAAAAATGAATAGATAACAACCAAACATATTCAATTCGTTCTATAATTAAAATAGACTTTCCTGTTTTTTTTTTGAAGAACAAAGTGTAATATCCTTTATGTTTCTTTACTTAAACAATTCTTAATTAATAACCATGCTAATGAATAATTTATTTTTAGCAGGTATACCACAAAAAAATAAATCTAAAGTTTTTCATCTGAAAATTTATCTATCAAGGTTATATCGTTATTACGATGTACCTAGTGTTTCGGTCAAAATAATTTTCTTCATTTCAACAAATAAGACTCTTGAGTATATTAGATTTTTGTAAAACATGTCAATTCGTTAAGAATCTAGTATTGTCAAGAAGGAAATATCTATTACAGCTCAAACATTTTGTATAGATGAGAGCCTCCTTTTTTTTTTTAAGACACAATATTAGATAAAACATCTAAAATATTTGAGTTTTCATGAGAAAACCAGCTATAGAGCAAACATTGAGTAAAATGATAATAATGCGAAAAGATAGATTCATAGACATAAATTATTTTTGACTTAGTCTAATCTGAATAGATCCTACCTAAAGAGGAAAATCTTATCACAAAAGCTTTTTATCACTTGAAGAATTAGTTTCCCCTCATTAGTATACTAAACTAACGTTTACTAAAAATAGATTGTCTCTGACATTTTCTTGGTCTTTTTCCCCTTCTAATTAAAAACCTAAAGAAAACCAACAGAAATTTGTCATTGATATTTACAGAATTTCATATTTAACTCATTAAAAATAAGTTAATATGCTGCTTTATTTGACTAATTTGAAGATGAAAAAAAGTTAATATTCAATAATACATATTTCAAAATAGAGTTTTTTTGTTTTCTTTTGTTAAATGAATAGTAAAAATTTACCTGAGATGCATGCATCCATAAATACATTATATATTTTTCTTCTATTTATTCTCGAAAAAAATC